ATCTGTCACGTTACCTGGAATGACCCTGCTCCCATTCAAATATTTGGTGTTACCATGCCCACCCCACCCATGTAGTCATGCCTCCCCAGGCACACCCAGCCCCTCCGGCTCCCCAGGAGCCTCGGCCACAGTTCCAACCCTCGGACACGGAGCTGCCCCCAGGACGCACGCCTGCCTCCACCCAGGAGCACAGGATGGCAGACAGCCTCCAGTGTCACCAAGGATGGATGTTTGGCTCTGGAAAACACCCATCTCGTGGGCATGTAGGTGCTCCCCCCTCACTCCCAGCTCAGGAGCAGGCACGGCGTGCAGATGGGTCCGTGGGCACCATCCTTGCATTGCCCTGCAGTGCCACGAACCTGCAGAGCAACTTGCTGCTGGCACCAAAAACAGATTCAAAGCATCCATGGGCAAATTCAGGGCAGGAAAATGCTTTGAGACTGGTTGCACGAATCCACCTCCTCTGATGGCCCCGAGCTGTTTGTCTGCAGGAGCATCCTGAGAGGGAGCATGGGCTGCTGGTCGTGTCCTGCATCCCCAGCCTCACATCGTCCCCACTCCCTCCCAGCTCCTTGGGGACCAGGCACTGCCCTGTGCCCCCCACTGATTCCCATTCACCCTCCCTCTCCCCCACACATGTGCAGAGACAGCTGGGAAACAGCACGATCCTGTTAAAGCCACCGTAAAACTAAATCAGAAGAGCCAAATAAAATATTTAACAAGCAAATAAAAGTCCAACCAGAGCCTGGCCATGCTCTACAAGAAGACCTCCTCTGTGACAGTGGGTTTCCCAGCCCTTTTTCCCACCGAGGACCTCAGTAAATGTCAGCTGTTTGCATCAGGTCAAGATAGGGGTCAAGAGCTCCCGAAGGGCAGGTCCTGGCTTACAGAGCCACCCTCCTCCCAAGACAAATAGCTGCACCCGGAGCAAGCCACAAGGCCAAGATAAGCTGGAACAACTGCTACCACCACCCAAAAAATCAGCGCTGGTGCGAAGTGGGGTGGCTGGTGGCAGAGGAGAGCAGAGTGAGAGGGCAGAGCTGAACTCATCACACTGGGGTGTAGGGGAGAGCCCCAGGAGCATCCCCAGACAAATACATGGCAGAGAGGGACCAGCATCAGCTGGAAGCAGCTCCGGACCAACCTCCTGGTGATGCCACACACGAATCCAGGCTGTGGGACCAAAACCCAGGCAGGAGCAGACAGCAGGGTGTGGGGGTGCCCCACAGCAGCCAAGGCTCTGTGCCTTCCTGCTCAGCTGCCAGGGCAAATCCCTGCTGGCCCCCAAGCCTGGGGGCTCAGGAGGGCTCGAGGTGCCCCTGCCCCTGGCAGCAGGCAGCAGACCCCTGTCCCTGGCAGCAGGCAGCAGACGGGTAAGGGGCCATGGCTGCACCCTGTCCTCCTCTTCTTCTGCAGCCCTTGGCCATTCTGGGGTCAGAGGACCAGCCCAAGGGCACACAGCTCCCAGCCCCACAAGTGGTCCCCAGAAGCAAGGGGGACACAGAGGTCCCAGCATCCCACTGCCTGGGGACTGTGGCAGGAGCTCTGCATCCCCCAG